AAAAAATAAAAAAAAAAAAAAAAAAAAAAAAAAAAAAAACCGCTTCAGCGGCTGCGACTGAGAATGAGAAAGTTACCGAAATACGCGCATTAACTGCATTATCCAGGAGAATGAGTAAGATACGGCGCTGTAAAAACGAGCGTAGGGAACTGAAAGTAGATTCGCTTTTCTTCCCAAGTGAATTCTGTTTTACAGCAAGGCTCCCTCCTTTCGCAGAGCGATGCTGTTGCTTTTGATTTCATTTTAAGGGGATAAGATATAAGCACTTTCTCATTCTCAGTCGCAGCCGCTGAAGCGGTTTTTTTTTTTTTTGTATTATTTTGTTTTTTTTTTTCAAACAAATGCCGGAAATTTTAACGTTCAGGCTTAGGATCTTCTGATTTATAGGGCCAAAACGACCCGCGATTTTGCAGTTAAGTCCAAGCGATAAGATTAAAAGAGCGTCAGTTTCCAAGGATTTCCCCCCCCCCGTCACATTTGAGCCCAGACTTTTCTCTCTCTCTTTTTTGCCTCCCCTCTTTTCTTTTCCCGTCCTTGAAAAAAAAAAGTCAAATATTTGAGCGATTTCCGGACATCAGTATTAACGAAGAGACCTCTCTGGGCCTTTCTGGTTGTGTTGTTGACGCGATAAGGACGAAGCGAGGTGCCAGACAGGTTTTAACGAGGTTTAACAAACCCGAGACGTTGATTTGCAGGGAGATGGCCGCGATTTGGCACTGAGCGGTTTGCCTTTAAGAAACAATTTACGTACTAATGGGATTTCTTGTGAAATTGCCCATCTCTCCCACCTCCGATTTAGAGGGAGGGGAGCGGAGGTTGTGGTGTTTGAATTCTCGCACCTACAAATTACTCGGAAATCTAGCAACAGGGTGAAAAAGGTCGAAGAATATTCCAAGAAAAGATTTTGGAGGTGTTTTATTCCATAGTCCTTTCCCAAATACCCTCCCCCTCCCCATTGTCACCCAACACCTCAGGCAGATCTACCAGGATTAACTTCCAATGTCCCTTCCATTGACGCAATTTATTTATTTTTAAAAATACAGCACTTTTTCAGATCTTGGATCGCCGTGCTGGTTAGTTTTATTAAATCTGGATTGACCTGAGAAGCTACTTTTGCTTCTAAGCTGTATCCCGAAATAGAAACAAGGCCGCATTCTCTCGCTTTCCGCGGTGAATTTAAGGATTCGAAACAATGGCCACAGGTTGTCTTTCACATGTGTGATATCTCTCCCTCTCTCCCCCCCCCTCTCTCTGTGTCTCTATCTCTATCTCTCTCTGTCTCTCTATCTGTCTGTCTGTCGGAACTTTCTCAAATTTCCTGATTGTTTTACCTAAGTCCCGCCATACTACACTGCCTTCTTTTACCCTTCACCTCAGCTCGAGAAAGTATCCGAGATTTTCAAATTAAGGTGCTTAGAAAGAAGGTGGCATTTGATCACTGAATCACTGTCTTCCTTTAGGCCTGTCCTATTCTGCTTTCTCTGCAGTCACTCACCCACCAAAGGTCTTTTTGTTCCTGAAAAAGGATTCCTTCAATAAACTGGCTGCCTCGGTGGGCGCTTATCTTTTTTGTTTTTTTGGCAGCGATTTATTTACCCCGGGCCGCTGTCCTCCTTTCTTGCAGGGGAAAAGCCCTTCCAGTGTGAGTTCGAAGGCTGTGACAGGCGCTTTGCCAACAGCAGCGACCGGAAGAAGCACATGCACGTCCACACTTCGGACAAACCCTACTTGTGCAAAATGTGTGACAAATCTTACACCCACCCCAGCTCTCTGCGGAAACACATGAAGGTAACCCGTTGGCGCTGGCCTGGGAAGGGGGATTAGGAGGGACCCGAGAGCAAGTGCGAGGAGGAGGAGCGGCCGAGGGATGGCCGAGGAGGCGGCCTGGGCTCATGGGAAGCCAGAGACCCCTCCCCACAGGGAGCCTTCGAGTTGAATCAGAAACGCCTGCTTTTCTTGTGTCACGATTTATGTAACTTTAGTTTGAGCAAGGCAGAATTGGGGTTCTCTATGCTGTCTGGGAGGAGGGAAATTGACCACCCCTTTTTAAGGAGGACTTTCGTGGGGACTCAGCCTTAACTCTCGGAAGTCTTCCCGTTTTAACGTTCTTATCTACAACGGAGGAAAAATAGTATTAATTATTAGCGTAATAAAAATAGCGCCACTTGAACAGGCATCGACAAAACCATCAATTGTAAAGGCAGTTTTTGGTTCAGTTTGCATCCAACCGTGCTAACTTACATTAAACATCTTTGGGAAGGACTCGATAGGTGGATGAAAATGCCAAATCCAGTCAAAAGAGCTAATAATAGTAATCGGTTTGCTTTGCTTTATAGGTCCATGAATCTTCCCCACAAGGCTCCGACTCCTCGCCTGCTGCCAGCTCTGGCTACGAATCCTCCACCCCTCCCGGTTTGGTGTCCCCCAGCACAGAGACCCAAAGTACGGCCGCCTCCAACTTGTCTCCGGCAGCTGCTGCGGCGGCCGCCGCCGCAGCAGCGGTGGCGGCGTCTGCAGTTCATCGGAGCAGTAGCAGCAGCGGCACGGGTGGCTCGGGCGGCGGCGGAGGCGGCGGCGGCGGCGGAGGGAGCCACAGTAGCCTTACCTCCAATTTCAACGAGTGGTACGTCTGAGGACGCCCAGTGCTGCTGCCACTCTTCTTGGATCCCTGGGGGCCAAGCAGTCGGAGTCCGTTTTGCAACTGTCTCTCATTCACTCTCTTTTTTCTCCTTTTGCTTGAATTCGAAAACATTCCGAAGCAGAGAGAAAGAGAAAGATTGAGAGAGAGAGAGAAATGCGGATAGGGACTCTTTAAAAAAACAAAAAAAAGAGAGGAATAAGGAGGAGAGGAAGGAGAAGGAAGTCTTCAAAGCAGCAAAGGGTTCTCCCCACCCAGAGACAGCCGCTGCCTCCACACTTGCAAATATTCCGTGTGCAGAGATTTGTCCTCCAAGCGCCTTGGAACAAAAGATCAGAGCTCGTCCATCTCTCCCAGTGTACATAGAAGAATCCAAGGTGGTAATCAACCTTTTCTTATTGTATAGAAATTGGTCCACTTTGTGAGCTATGGATTGCTTTTCCTTTATCATTTCCCACTCAGAGCTCTTTTTGCCTCTTGAGCATCCTTCTCTTTTCTCTTCTCTTCTCTTCTCTTCACCTCTCCCCTAGTTCTCCTAGTTCTCGAATTCATCTATTTTAAAAGGGGAGAAGGGAAAAACATGAAAGCAAATGGTTTTTTTTTCTCTCCTGTAATTGTGGTATTGAATATTGTGTTCCCTTTTAAAGAGGCAACTTTGATTGTAAACTTCATTAAAATATAGATCTGAAAGATTTTTTTAAAAAGTGCCAAAGTCTCTATGTTGTTTTCAAAATGACCCAGATGAATTTTCCCCTTCTCCCAACACTTGTGAATGTATTTTCTGTTAGCTGGGTTTACATGTGATGTTTTAGTGCTTTTTGCTAGTTCCTGTTTGGAAATTTGTGGGGGTGGGGGTGGTAGGGAAAATAAACGTAGTGCTGTTAGGGATTTTTTTTCGTAATAACACCCTTCCTTGTGTAAATACCTATTGCCATATTTATCCATTTGTAATTAAATTATGGTATTAACTTGCTACAGAGGAAACAGTATTTATAAAAAAATGTTTCTTAACTATAAATATGTACAATTGTGAGCATAAACTGTTTCAGAATTTTTTATTTGGAGGTTTATGTGGTTTCATCATTTCTTGTGATTTTTTTGAGAGTAATGCATACAGAAATATAATAAAATGTGTTGAAACTGCAGTCCATGATATTTTTAATCCACATATATCTTTATCCTTATCCCAATAAATTAAAAGTGTTCATACTTGGTTAGAGTGAGACTCTTAAGTCGATTTTTAAAAGCAATTAAAAACCATAATTGTAGAAATTATACAAAAGAAATACTGCTGGTTTCTTTTTTAATTTTAAAACTCATTTTACAGTTCAGAAGCTCAAGTAGTATAACCCCTCCCCAGAATTGCAGGCTGAACTAGCAAATGTACATTTACTTGAGAGTAAGTTAGAATGAGCACAGAGTGTCTTACTACTCAATAGACACACATATGATTGTCTTGTGCAAAACTTGGAGAAAGGCCCCTGGGGTACCTTTGCAGTCTGAATGCCAGCTCAGCAGAAGACTTAACATGGGCTTCATTTTTCACCAATTGGAAATAAAGAGGAGCTTAAAATGAACAGAAGTTTGAAGAATAACTTGTACCTTTTAACTGAAATGCTTCATTTGTTTCAGTTTTATATTTCCACTGGGCCCAAACTAATGATATCTGAACTACTAGGCTTTTGGTTTATATTAATGCATTTATTCTCTCTAAGAATACGCCTAACTTCTTGAAGTGGTGGGTTTTCTCTGTTGCTTTTTATATGTTTACATGATAATTAATGTGTAATGAAGCTAAGAAGTTAGGCTGTTGGTTTATTTTTTAAAGAGAGTCATACATTCTGGCTATATCTCAGTAAAATTGAGGACTTCTTACATAATTCCAATAACAATTTCTTTTTCTTTTATTATTCTTTTTTTTAAATTGCCTGCTGACTGAAAGTCAATATTTATTGTCGCTGGGGATATTAAGTGCATGCAATATACTGCAGGAGCACATGTTTAACTATAAGGGCCAAGAAGAATACTGACAGTGTATATGAATTAATATGCTAGAGCATATATAACTGTCTTCACGTTATCACTATAAAATATAAAGTCCTGTTCTACATGAGTGGAAATTTAAAGATGCCTCCCCCCCCCCTTCAAAAAAATATCCTAAATTCACTTCCGCTGCGATGCTAGGCTTTAGTGAGGCTGAATACATTTCGTCCTCCGATCTCAATGTGAAATCCTCACTCGGGGAAGCTTCTCCCCACCTCCCGAAGAATCTGGAGTGGAATTCGGGGTTGACCGCTTGAAATCTTCGAAAGCCTGGCCTTTCCTGCAACCCCACCCCCACTCCAAGTCAACCGCCTGGATACTGAAAGCAACCACGCACTTCCTTGTTTTTTCTAAGCCCTGCCGGCTCTCGTGATCCTGGCATGTGGTGACAGCTTCTCCACGCTGCCCAACAACTCGCAGAAGACGCCGCGAGTTGTTTCTTGCCGGTCCTCAGCTCCAGGTTGCTCGCAAAACAACGATCTCCGCCGTGGCAAGGAAGAGTTCGAGTCCTAGGCGGATCGATTGGCTTGAGTATAAAAAAACCCACTTACTTCCACTTTACTTCCGTGCCGGCTTTTCGAAAGAAAGAAAGAAAGAAAGAAAGAAAGAAAGAAAGAAAGAAAGAAAGAAAGAGAGAGAAAGAAAGAAAGATAGATAGAGATAGATAGATAGATAGATAGATAGATAGATAGATAGATAGATAGATAG